GCTTTCCCTGCTTCGAGGTGGTCCTGGGAAGAGACGCCCCCCTCCATCAATGCACTGTCGCAGTTGCCGACAACATGGGAGTTAGACACAAGTACCTTGTTGTGACTCAAACTGGTGAAGGTCTTCCACGCAACCGGGCTTTGCAAGATATCGATTTCGATCATGAATGGCATGGATCTCTTCTCGTCATGAAATACGGGAAGAATTTGCCTTTCGTTGGGCTTGCTGGGCTTGCAGACAGAAATCGAGCCAAGGTTGCTCTTCAGCGGTACGCCAAACCCCTGTTGTGTCATATGGCCGATACATATGTTGGGCCATCACAGATTCCTTGTCGATTCACAGTTCGCACCTGTCACTGCAGAGGTCAAGAATGAGTTACCATCCGAGATCTGGTACTGATCTTTACTAGAAGTTTGTATTTCATTCCGACTCTTTTACAAGCCTACAAACTGACATTTGGCCCCAGCTTCTCTGCATCCCACCAACCAGAAGTTATCATCCGCTTTTTCATGTGTTTAGTGGTTTATGCACCAGTTTACAGCGTTCAAATGCCCGTACTGCATATATAGTTTCAAGTTAATGTTATGAATACGATACGAACATTAAAGTTAGATTTCCCCGGTCACAGCCAATATGAACTAGATATTCCAAGCGCAGTGTGAACAGAGGAATGATTAAGTTCGTGAACTTTGCGTGTTTCCACGGTCTGTGGAAGAGACGACCTCAACATCTTTACGAAACGGGCGTTGTCAGCAACGAAGCGATAGGAGGACAGATACCACTCACAAAAAAGGTCGAGAGCTGCCTCAAGGAGGCAGTCAATCAGTCCACACCGCCCCACAGATTGCTGCACAAAGACCAGGTCAGCAACGAGGACAGAGGGCATCGAATATTATCCCTGAATCAATGGCCATGGAAACGCTGACCTGCAGCTGAGGAAGCTCGTAAGAAGGAGCGTAAGGCCGTGGAACCCCTGCCTGGGCATACAAGATTCGGTGTAGGGGATATTCGTGGTACCTATGCTAGAAATTGACATTTTCCCCCAGGTTATTTGCATCCCACCAACCAGACCTTTTCATTTTCATGTGGTTCGTATTCTATGCACCAATGTAAATTGACAGTAGAATGACAGCCTACAGTGTAGTGGTTCGGCTAATTATGAAGCTTGGGCATGAATGAGCAGTGAGCGCTTGAGCGCCAGTGAGCCGTTGGCGGCTAGCATGTGCACTTGCGAGCGCCGAGCGCTGAGCGCTGAGGCCTCACTAGGCCCAGTGTGCGTTTACACACTATGTCGTGCTTCCTTGCACCGATTCTCCTCGTCGTCGTCGTCGTCCCCTTGCACCCTATTGTGCAGTGCAGTAGGGTGCGGTTTCTTTCTCTTGAATAGTTTGACAGCGTGAAGATGTCAGAGGCGTTACTTACCAGCCTTCTGTATTAATATTGCGGTACGTCGGAAGTGGTAGTCGTCCAACCCCTCAGACACAATGCGATCAGGCAGGTACGTTGACTGGAGTATTCGCATGATATTTATGTACCTGTCAACGAGTCAGTTTTAGATAATGAGGAATGTAGGGTACCTCCAGAATAAACGATGGTCCGTTGATGGCAGCGGACGCCTGTTGCGCTTCGTGATTTGTAAATATTATGTCGATCGCATACACAGAAGGACAGCGATCAGCGTTCGACGATGACTGCCAGTGGTTAGCAGTCAGCAGTCAATCATTAGTGATTGGCGAATGACAAAGCCTTCACCTTGAGGTCTCGACGCCTCGTGCCACTTAAAGTACGCAAGGGTAATTGGTTAGACCTCATGACGGATCATGAAGAGTGTCCTAGAAGACCGGGGCACCGTATATGATGTTACATGTAGCAGCCAGGTTAACTTGAGGTAGACAATCACCAGTCGAGGATTGGTTTTGCAAAAAGTGCAATGGACCAAAGAGAATTGGACGGTACGGGCTTCACCTTCATCGATCATCGACGGTCGGAGAAACAGCCCAGCACCAGTCAAATTCGTACTTGGACTTGGAAGACGGGAGGTTTATATCATTTGGTTGTGTTTATTTCCAGCGACTCCATGATCCCTCATACACGTCATCGCTAGTCTACATGCACTGTTTGCAACGAAGGAGCGAAATCACTTGTTTATTATGATAGGTCTTTTGTAATCTTTGTCTACGATAAATTGCGCATACCACGATCAATGATGGCGTTGCTGGAGTTCAAGGGTAGTGACCAATGGTATCTAACCGGCCACTATTTTCCAAGACAACGCTGCATGCCTTTTGAGTACATCTTCAACTACAAAAGAGGCGAGACTCACTGCTCTGCTTGAGGGTTGAACTGAAAACAGTATCTCCGAGAATCAACTTCAAGATCAGTTGCTCCCCATGAAGGAAGATGTTGGAGCCAATTTGCATTATACGCATTGAATGGGAGGCCAGGTACGGGAGGGCGAGTGGAGGATACGTTGGATATGAGTCGAATACGAGGTTGCGCACCTGGTCCAGCACGCCTAATCGGTGCGAAGCGACGAAAGCGATGTAAAGCATCGAATTTGCGAAGCCATACGCCAAGTCGCTCATCCCTCCATCCCTTCTTACGTATGCGGAATTGAGGAATCCCGGTCCCAATGAGTTCATGGTCCGACTCGTCTGTGCTCATCCCATCCACGCCAAGGCGTTGAAGGATATGAACATGCTCTCCGGCGAGTTCGGGTAACTCAATAGCTGCATTGATGCGCCTCGAGAAAAGCTGCCAGTTGTCCGCATGTGAGCCCATTGGCATCTAGATAAAAGGATAACTCACAGTGCGTTTTCTTTCGTCTCTCCTGGCTTTCGCTTGGAGATCCAAGTAATCGCTGTGCGACATTCTGGCGACGTTCATGGACCTTCGGAGTGACTTTAATCGTGCCCCAAATGCACGCCGAACGGCCGCAACGTCATGAGAACTGAATGTGTCCGCATCAAGGAAGCTTTCGACGAAAACTTCCGTTACAGATTTGTTCCAACTACTCTTCGGGGAAGAGTAGAAATCGGGCCGAAAATCGTCCGCCGTACAGGCCCGGCCGAGAGATGGGTTCCAGTCGCGAATCGTGTTGTCAGAGGGCTGTACTAGCATAAAGTCCGTGTATGAAAGATGGAAGTCTTTCATATTTTCCGGAAGTTGGGAGGGTGGAAAATGCTTGCTGAGAAGCACGTTGGTATGGAGACGGACTTCACGCTTCAAACAAATGTTGTAAACGAAAAAAAGTACTTTTCTTGCAACATTGTATACTCACTGCAAAGTTGTTCTTGCGAGCACCACGGCGTCGTGGCAATCCACGCAGCCTAACGTTAGTGGTGCGTCTGGGACGCATGAGGCCTTCGTCGTCCCCATCATGACCATCGTCCCCTTCCTCCCCGGCCCCTGGGGCGTTTGAATGTCGGAATCGGTCTATGTTGCTGCCGCGCAGAAGCTCGTTGGTGGTGTTGATGCCACGGCTAAGCTCTTGGACGCAATTGGTAAGCGAAAGCACATCGGCATAGGAGGCGGCCTTCGTTTTACGATTAGAAAGGATTGGCTATCAAAGAAGGCAGGTTTCAGACCTGGTAAAGATGTGCATCATTGCTTCGCCCACCATGCACTTGATCGTTCGTCGGGAGAGATTGAGGGCCTGCAGGCCTGCCAGATCGATTTTCGCTTGCGTTGGTATCTTGTTCCCCGTTTCCAGCTTCTCCATCGTCGTCTTCGTCTCCGCTACTCGGAAGGAAAGCTATGGGGTTTGGCGTGGTTAGAATAGGCTAGATGGCTATCAGCGCAGGGTTTCAGTATATGAGGTATTAACAAACCGGGCCTCGATTGATGCTTTCGGTGGCGATTGAGTCCACCATAGCTGTGTCGTCCTCAAAGTGGCTGACGTCAGAGATGCTGCTCTGCCCTTCCGCGATTAGACCGTCGACGGTGTCGTGTTCGGATTCATCGAGGCTTTCATAAAAAACTAGAGGCGTGGAATGTGGAAGAATGTTCTGCAATCTTGCACTTAGAGAGCTTTTGTTTGAAATTATGATAGAAACATACTTCTCCTTCGTCTTCTTCGTCTAGGTACTGGTGATTTAAGTACGAATAATTGTCCGCCTGCTGCAATGTTAATCAACCTACACGAGGAAATGGGAAATAGTACCGACTCTTGTGTTATTCTGCGAGTGTAAAACAGGTGCTTGGTTTAACCAAGTTGCTGGTCTCAAAGGGAAATGAGTGGGCGCCCCGGACATCGGATAGAGCGACCTTTGCGAGCCGTCGGCCGGCATCGTGGTGGAGGGACGCATGCGGTGGCTGACCTGGTCGTCCATTGCTGTGTCACCAGACGAGGTTGAGGCCAAGTGGACAGGTATGGAGGGGTCGACGCTCGTGGTATTGCTCTGGCCTTCCATGTGTGTATCGTCGATAGCGTCCTGGTCGGACTCCTCTGCGCTATCATAGGAAACTAATAGTGGCATTGAAGCCGGAACGAAAATCTAAATCTTCAATTTAGAGACCTTTCTTTGCCAAATTACGGTAGAGTTATACTTCTCGTTGATCATCTTCGCCTGAGTAATGATGGTTCAAGTAGGAGTGATCATCCACCTGCTTCAATGTTATCAACCTAGATGAGGAAGTGTAAAATGGTACTGACCACGGCATTATCCTGCGGGTGCATAGAAGAATAGTTATCCACCTAACTCAGTCAGTAATTTTCTCCAAAAAAAGACTAGGGGCTCAGAATGCTCACTGTTTGGCCGCCGCCTATCGAGGTCGACGATCGGAGATGCCAAATCTAATCATTCGCGCGGTAAGAGGAAAGCGGTTGATTTTGATAAGACGCCGCACACACCTGTGCAACCTGATTGGCCTCAAGCATTGCGGGGCCAGGTTGTACCTCTTCCCCAGTGCTAGAGGCTGACGGTGTTGGGCTAGATTCGCCTCCTTGGGGTCCAATGTCAATGAATTACAGTGAAGATGACGATACTATCATACTTACGAACAGTACGGTCACTCGTGCGATCCGCGTCTTCCGCATCCACGGTGGAAGTCGTTGCAAATCTCCACGGATTCACTTCTTCAAATAAACGAACTGGAAAAGGTGTCAACGTCCAAGCTGATAACGAAAAAGGTAAACGCACGGCGCTGATTGTGCAGGACCTGTCGTTGTGAGACATCGACGCGTGAACGCGGGTATGGGCCTAGTTCGCGAGGTCTCTCCCTACGTGGCTGCGACATAGGGATCCTTTGAAAGATATGATTGGAAGGAGAATGAGAGCCACTCTACAGTGTATCCTCCGAAGCCGGACCCTAACTGAAATCGCACAGTGCGTATAAAGGGCCTGCATGTTGGACGGAAACAAAGAGATATGCCGCATGGGACGGCAATTGGTGTTTAGCATTATTATGTAATATATCATGATCACCAAAAGCCGGATTTTGAGGCCTGAGGCCCAGGTTGGATGGTTCGCATCTCCGGACAGCTCCGAGCAACTCTCTGGTCGCGCGATGTAAAAAACGCAAGCGGGCGAACCTACCTCTGCGAAACTGTTTGAGCATCATCCTGAGGTAGTCAAGGAGAACAACATACTCGCCGTCCTCGAGCTTCATGAGCAGCCACCTACATAAAAGTACAGCAAAAGTCCTCGCATTTATGCCAGAGGTAATCATCAAGGGCCGAACTCGATCAACTTGGCGCATCGTCAAGAGGTGAGAGATATCTGATTAGCAATCAGCAGTCAATCGTCAGTGATTGGCGAATGACAAAGCCTTGACCCTTGATCAAAGCCTCATTTCAGTTCTCGTGGTGAGATCTTTGTTTCACGAAATCTCAGGCACCGGCAGGTTGGATGTCAAGTGACGCAAGGGGAATTGGCGTCTCTGAAAGAAATTCAAACAATATCAGAAGTCGCCAAGAAATGTAATCAATCAGGAGGCGAATGTTACGCTTCAGCAGTGTAAGTTCGTCGCGCAAAAACCCATGCGTGATTGTCTCCGCGTCCAGCTTCTCGCGAGCCGTACCGAGCTAACGACGTAGATCATATCTCTCTCTGAGTGCATCTCTTGTCCCGCATTGATGCCAGAGGTAATCATCATGGGCCGAGCTCCATAACCTGGCACATCGTCAAGAGGTGAGCGTTCGACGACAACCTAGATATCTGGTTAGCAATCAGCAGTCAATCGTCAGCGATTGGCGAATGACAAAGCCTTGACCCTTGAAGCCTCGTGTCAGTTCTCGTGGTGAGATCTTTGTTTCACGAAATCTCAGGCACCGGCAGGTTGGATGTCAAGTGACGCAAGGGAGCGCAAGGGTAATTGATAGCCTCATGAGGGATAATAAAGAGCGACCTTAGTAGTCATAAGTATACCTGAAGACTTAGAAGTTAGAGGGCAACATAAGTATATGATGTAGCAGCCACTGGTTAACAATCACCAGTCATAGATTGGCGTTGCAAAAAAAGGCAATGGAGTAAAGAGAATTGGGTGGCATGGGCTTCATCTCTCATGAGACGATCAGAAGAACAGCTCCGCCGCGGAGCGCCTATGAAGTTTCGTGTTTGGTATGGAATGAGGTCGGAGGAAGGAGGTAAGTATTATTTGGTTGTGTTTATTTCCAAAGCCAATCCACAATGACTAGACCCGCCCCTCGGCGAACTCTGTACATGACACTAGCTACATCTTCTATTTTTTCGTACGCAACGACGACCAGGACGAAAATTAAGGCCACCAATGACCAAGGCCACTATTAAGGACAAGGCCGCGGTTACGATCATGGCCTGGACCGAATCTTATATCTGCGACGGAGGGCTTATCTATCACAGTGGTGCATGCTGTTCATAACGATCTTGTCGGGTGGCTTGTCCTAAGAATGTGTTCATTGCAAAGCTAATTGCGATCATAGTTTCCACCGACCGAATCTTGTAGTGCCGACGGAGGGGTTACCTCGTCCTTGCGGAACTCTTGGGATCAGATGGAAAGGTGCGTTTTGCACAACCGTAGAGAGAACGAAACACTAATTTCATCTAGTGGTCCAACGCTGTTCATAAATAAAGGAATTGCGAAGCCGGCGTTCGATGTCGAAGGTGAAGGTATGGCACGATTCAGCGCATGCAAGTCAAAGTTGAGGGAGCGCGGAAAGTAGAGAGAGTAGTGAGAGATGTGCGACGAGAGTTACATAACGTTTGTCCGGCATTTTATTTGACGGACATGAATGGCTGATGTGGGTCTGTTCAGGTTGCTGCCCCTGCTTGAAAAAAAATGTCCCACTATTGTCTCCTTGCCACCCGACCCAGTGCATCGTGATTCTCGCCCGTACTCTACTCATGAATGGGCTTCTGCTCACAACAGCCCCAACCCTCCAGAGTTCTCCCGGCGGCGTCGCAGACCTCGGCATGCAACTCCGCGCTCCTCGCTTTCCCTCTATTGCAATGGGGGCCCGCCAAAAGTGAATGACAGGAATGTTTCAACATTGTTCGTTATCCCCCAATCCCCCCCCTGTACGCCGTTTTTGCTGACATGCACCGCGTAGATCAAGTCGGTGCCCAGCCGATTGACCGACCTTGTAGCATGACGACTCTGCACATGCGACATGATGAGCCGATAGTAACGAAGAAGCAGGCTGGAGAGCTGAAGACGCTGATGCAGCAGCTGATCCCGGATTGCAGCCAAAAGGTGGAAAATGGCGTCGTGGCGTCGGAGCTTTCACCGATCTTCCAAGATCAGTGCTGAAATAGTACATCTCTCAGCAACCGGTGTCTTGTTTTCATTCACTTTATCAAAAGATTACGATGACCGCAATGTTCTCAAGGGACAAGCCCATCAAGAAGGCAGTTACCCAATTTGTCAAACCGAGGGACAGTAATTCGCGAGACTGCGTCCTATTTGACTTTGCCATCCGTAGTCCGTGACTATTCTTCTCAAGACGCACACTCTAAGAGGAGTTCTCCGGGAGCTGCTCTTGCATCGTGTCGTCAGTCGTCTCGGACTTCCCTGGGTTCTGCAAGCCAACCACTCGTCCGATTGGGTCATCCCGTTGAGCGCTGCAGAAGGTCTTCGCTTGCAGGTAATTATGTAAGTAATCAATAGGATCGCAAGACACGATCAACTCTGCCATACTCTGCTCATGTTACTCCAAATCTATATCCTTCAGTCAATCAAAAGCCGTCGACACATGGCGTTGTCGTTGGCTTACGACACAATGTATACCAACAAAACTAAGGTGGATAGAATTTTTGGCATCCGCGATTGGCGGGTTTTAATCCAGTGCGTTCATTTCTCTCGTTTCTTCTCTGTATTTCCGCTTATGGTGGTTATAGTGATTCCCTTCACAATTCGGATCACCGTCCCATGGCAAAAGGTCGGAAGGAAGGCGAGCACTGGACAGCCTGGGCCTTCGACATGAAGTCCAACCGCTCCATCTTCTACCTTCACATGTACAAGGCTGGGCGAGCGGCGAAATTTGGCGCAGATACACGCAAGACATTTCGGGCGTACGAGTACGACCTTCTATGGAGCGGAGAGGTAAGACGCTTTCCTGCATTCCCTTGTTCGAATCTTACCGCCATCTTAGGTGACAGCGAAATAGACATACATACTCTACTACCTTGAGACCGGTCAAGTCAATAAATAGGATGGGATGTTACGCATCATAGTACAGTAATCAGCGGTACCATGCGCTTCAAAAATATTCAAACGGAAAGGTTCTGACAAAAGGTATGTTAATAATGTATCTAACCGCACCCTACAACATACTTACCAACATTTTCGTGAACATCAGCTTTCCCGTCGTGGTTGAGGCTGACGCTGAAGGGCGCTCTGATGAATCTGGTCGGACGCATTGGACAAGGATTCTAGCAAGATGCACGTCCATGTACCTACAGGTCTTAACTCACCACCTACAACCTCACCGTCACCCCACTCAAAACGGCAAATCCGACCTCGCAGACCTCTCTCATTTCAGACGACATCATCGTCATCTGTTCTCGCGAGATATCCACGACTCTCTAGCCTCGTCGCCCTCAGCGCCACAAATACTCCCCCCAAATTCGGATTCCATGCCGTACAAACACGCTACAGAGTACCGGGACTCATCAGACTTCCCCCGCACGTTTTTCAGATCGCTAACAGCGCCTACTACCACATCCTCACCGTCACCCCACTCAAAACGGCAAATCTGGTGCCACCGACCTCGCACAACTTTTTCTGGCATCGTCGCCCATCTCAATTCGTTAGCATTAGCCCAAGGAACGCTAGCCGCCATGACGTTTTGCTCACCTGAAAACTGGTTGTGATTCTGATACGAGACTTGATTCGAGTTCGCATGTTGAGTGAACAAGGTCAAAATCACGCCGATTCAGGATCTGGCCAACTCCGGACGTTGGCTTGCGATGATTCCAGGCCAGATGGCTCCATCCTCTTTCGTTCTTGTTGTTGTTCTCAAAGCAGTCACATTCCGTATAGAATGCTCTTTCCGAGCCGCTGGTCACCCTCCTCTCCCATCCTAGTCATGGTGTTCATGTGGATGCTGTCAACGCCTTCACATGCTTCTCTCCGCCTGCCCCAGACGATTTTGATTCTGATGGACAAACTGCAGCGGAATTTGTCATCGATACTGAGAGGGCACGGGTCCGGTCTTGCAGCTCTCGTTTCAGCGATTCCACAACGTCCGCTATACGTTTTCTAAGATGTTATCGTCAAGTTACCAGATATGGCCACTCAGCTATTGAAGCTTGTTGCAGAGTATGGCTTCAAGATCGGAGATATTGAGGTAGAAATTGCATGGACATTCATCGCCTCCCTCATATCTTTGGGTCCCAATTTCGTCCCCCCTCACTTTTGCCGACTAAAACTACTCGTCCTTTGGCGGAACGTTCTTCCGAAACCGCAAAACAAGGACTCCTCCAACAATGTCGGACGCTCTGTGACTTAGTGGGTGGATGTTTCTGCTACACGTTCGAGAGGGCGCCCTCGCTGCCATACTTTGCTTCCTTCAGCATAGTTCGTTGTCACTTTAGATGTCACTCCTCATACTGCCTCAGTTTTAAGCAATGTCCCCCCTTTCGCCAATGAGTTTATTGCCCAGAGCACATCCTTCTGATATTCAACATCCTGTCGTCCCTCACGAGGGCTTGACAATGCAAGACAGGAAGTCCCTTATTCGTTGCGAGGTATACGGGTATACACTATAGCGAGACGAGTTGTGTGCGCCATCTAGATGTCAAGTGCCCGTTACCAGCACCTTGCGAATAGCCGGCTAAAACACTGTCAACGACTCGCCAGGAAGTTCCGCGACATGATACGCTAGCGCACGTCAATGCAAGCAGGCTGGTTGTCAATACCTCTTTGCTGCCGCCAGCTCATGGTGGATTCGAAAGCTTGGCCTAGCATAGGGACAACGGTTCGTGCTCACAAGCATCTAGATTAGGTTTCCGAAGCTGAAGGATCGCATTAATAGGGATTGAAATGGTTCGGAAATCGGTCAGACCAATTGATTGATACCTCCACGGTATCTCTACTGCGGTGACCAGAGGTAAGTTGAGAGAAGTACTTTGAGATGAGTCCTCGGATCCAATCCCTCGAAATCCACCATTTCATTAAGTGTGACTGTAGGAGTGGCCTCTGTTGAATCTGCTATGCTGCAAAACCTGAGTGCAACAAAACATTTAAGGTCTTCCGTGGCATTTGTACTGTCGTTGCAAACAGTAGACGGAGGGAACCTCTAGATGCTATTGTAGCACGCAGCAAGGGCATATCCACGACTTCTGGGCTTCTAATTTCTCGTGTTGCCGACTCCAGATACTTGGCTAATCCCGTCTATGATGATGCTCAGTCCCCGACGACTCACCACCCGAACAAGACGAATCTATGGTACCGCTCGACAGGTCTGAAATTGGCCCTAGCACCGTCCAAATAACCGAAGAGCTCAAGATCGCCCCAAACCTCTCCTTTCATTTCAGATGCTACGTTGGTTGGGGAAAAAGACCTGGAGGGCAAAACCGTGACCCACGACGGGATGTCCCCGATATCAATAATTACTTTCATCAAAACGGTTCATGTCCAATACAAATCATGATGCCTCAAATCAAATCTGCGATGATTTACGTTGCAGCCTTAAATCCCGCATCCTTTCTCTCAACCCTGATGCCTCACTGATCCCGATGCTTGCGGGTATATCTGCGGAAACACCTTCAAAATGCAACACAAAATCATGAGAATCACGATCAAACCTCCTGTTTCAAGTCATTGATTTTTTTTTGCAATCTAGAGTTCACAGCCTTCACCGACTCTCCCCGCCTTTTTGTTTCTGCAATCGTTTGTCGCAGCCTGTCTGCGCTTGATGCGAAAGCGTTGATCAATTCCGCATCTTGTTCAATCACTTCCTGATTTCCAGACTTCTCGTAGTGCAGAGCCTCTAACCGGATGGCAAGTGCTTGGTTTTTTTCCTTTAGCTGCTCCAGCTCTTCCTTCAGCCCTTGGAACTCTAGGTTGCTGAGGGTGCAATGAGTTCAGTTAGATCCTTATAAGCATCAACGAATTATCATGATTGAACTTATTGAGCTCCTTCAACCGTTCTTCATCAACGTCCGAGAACTCCAAGCGAGGCCAAAAAACTTTCACTCCAGTTGCAGTGCCCTGTGATAGGCTTTCTTTGCAGACGGGGCATTGAGGTCTGGCGGGTGGCTGAGGATAGGCTTCCTGGCTGCATCGGCCGCAAACCAAATCATCTAACCAGTTGGTTAACGTTTTTTTATAAATGTGAAATGTCTGCCAACGTACGCCCAGAACAAGGGAGGCAAATGAGTTCGTCCTCGCCAAGCAGGACGGCATCACAGGCGCTGCACACTAAAATATCGTTCAGGTTACCCATTCAACGATTGACGACCGAGATCCATCATCTTGATCCCTAGCAGATTAGCCTTACATAAGCGGCACAACTCGGGCAAGCGAAGGCAAGCTGAGTTTTGGGCAAGTTGGCTTGAGCTCAATTACATAACATGACATGGACAATAAAATAGCAGACATCTGACATGCATAATTTACAGTACGGTTTGGCACTTTAGAAGGAGGTGAGGGACACATCAAATCTGGAACGTCGTGAGATCCGTTTGTTTCACGTGTTCGCTTTGAATTGTACTTAGTTTCTTTGTGCAGGTTGCTCTTCACCTCAGTACACTCATCAACCATTCGCGACCTGAATGAAATACTCTTGCGTTTATACCTTCACCGCATCTCACAAAAACTCCGTCAACACGCTTGCCTTTTCACTTGACGGTAAATTCCTTGCCAGTGGCGATGAAGACGGTGTTCTTGTCATTTTCAACACGAAGAGTGGGTCACAGTGCGGGGGAGCAACCTTTTTGGCCCCTATCACCAGCCTCATCTGGGCCCTCAACGGAACGATAATTTTTGTTGGTATGGTAGATGGGAGTATCCATCAATTTCTACCCGTATGGCCGTTCTTTATAATCAGGTATTGAATCTAATGGTTTGTCAAAGGCTAAACTTGTAGGCTACAAGCTGGCCGTGAATTCCAATGCGCAAATACAGTCCATAGCGCTTCACAATAAAAAGCTGGCTGTTGCCGCGGGAGATACAGTGGAATTATTTGACCTTGAATCTCAACGTAGCGAAGGTAAGTCGACATCATCTCGTCTTGCATCCTTTCCCCGACGACGTCATTAGTGTCTACCTGGACTCAATGTTCATCTGTTGGAGCTGAATGGGTCTCGCTTCAACGGCCCTCACCAACTCCAGAAGTTCGTTCAATCGATTTCCTGAAATCAGGACAGAGCCTCCTGATTACTTACCTAGAACACGGCATTCGGTGAAATAAATCAAAACTTTACAAGTTTAATTCTTCTTACTAGCGAACAGCTGTTGGAATATTGAATCACACCAACAAGAGTGGCGGATAAAGCCTCATTCTTTTCGAATGTACGTTGCATTACTACTACTTGTCTGGGGATCTCTATCTACGTTGCCTCTCCAGTGGTCGATCGGCAATCAACGCCTCTGGAACCTATCTAGTGTGCTCAAACCTCTTTGATGGTTTCGATGTCTATTGTTTGGATACTCAGCAGTATCTACGCACCCTGCCAGCGCACAATGTCGAGAACGTTTCGCTCTCTTTGAGCTTTGTCCACGCGGATGTAGAGGCTGTCTTGGGTACAGCGAACGGCGCTGTCAAGGTAGTGAACATCTTGAGTGGCGACATGACTGCTGATCTTCACCATGATTGTACGTGCTTTGGGTCCACTACAATCCGCGTTTTTATTTACAACTTGATCACGTGTGTAGCGTGGGACATGATACAGACTGTGGTATGTCGGATTTTGTCATTTCATTTTAAATCTCTTTTTCTGTTGGCTTTTCACTTGCAGGCTTATACAGTTTCTGCAGACGGCATATCCCGACAACATATTATTGCCACTGCTTCTTCCGAAAAAGGCCCCTCAACTTATGTCAAATTATGGATGGCGGTGGTAGACGAACCGAATGATGACAATCATCCCAGTCAAGCCCAGCCCAGCCCGGATGACGATACTATTGATCATGACCCACCCCAGCAAACCACGGTGATTTTACCCAAGGGCGATTCGGCCACCCACAGATATTATTGTTTTTGTGGAACACGGCGTCACGCCGCGTTGATCATATTGCTCCTTCTCTCTCTCCTTGCTATTGGATTCCCTCGAAAAATCACTTCTTTCGTATGTTGCTCCGAAAAATTTGGAGGTTGCTATATCAATTCTAATTTCAGGTCAATCCCGCCCCCCTTTGGCGAGCTCAGCAAATTCAGCTCCTCCTTGGCGAGAATTGGCATTCCCTTTGCCAATGGTTACAAAAGTCAGTTTTTACCTTCCGCCCTACCATTGATGAGTACTCATACACCGCTAGCGCAATGACAGCAATTGGTTCTACCATCTCTTACTTTACTTCATGAATTATGGATGCGACGCGCCAATGTATCTCGGGTCTTTCACATAGAAATTCAATTCCATTTGACCAAAACTACAACTGTGAGAGGATCGTGTAGCTTGAGATTCGTGACGATTTGTGGGGTGGATTCGCAATCGTCGCAGGTCGAACGATTACGAAAATGTTTATTCTCTCATTTATCTTCCTTGGCTGCCTCCTTCTCGTTTTGGAGATAAGGTGTCCCTCAAAACTGGTCCAATTAGCAAAATCTCATGGCAGTGGCGTCGAGTTTGCGTTGAGTCTGGTAAGGCTGTACATAATAACTCATTGTTGATGAACCGGACCGTTCCAGACCGCTGATGTATGAGGTAACAAAGACTGGTCAACTTGTTATAATTACGCCAGTAGTAAGACTTAGTGCTCAGTACTCAGCCCTTAGCCCTCAGCCTTAGGCCTCAAGCTCAAGCTCATGTATCTCATATAGTGAGCTGAAAGCTACTCCCGTCTTACCATAATTTATCTGCCCAGATATGCCACCCCTCCCTGTCCGTCCTGTTTCTGCACTTGCTGTCCATACCGGTGGCTCACTCTGATTTTCTACAATGGCAGCGCAAATCAAGTACCAATCGGCGTCGTTATGCACGGCAACCAGGTCCCCCAGATCCTCGCAGCATGGACCTGCAAATTCGTCGGATAGCCACTCATCTCTTGCGTGGAGCCACTCAAGCATGTCCATTTCCAGTTACCTTTCACAACAATTTTAACCCACATTGCTTAACCAGGTGAAGTCCAACGACCGACGACGGTATTCCCTACGAAGGAGAAGTTCTAGCGTCGGCTCAGAGAAATTGGCTTCTCGATCTCCGCACCAATCGACTTGCAACGAATCACTGCAGAAGACCCAGCACATCGCCATCGAGAAGCCCCATGCTTCATCCAGCAATTCTATGTTGAAAGTCGAACCGATAGTCGCTGACAGGCAACATGTGCCTTTAGCGGATAGTGAATTACCGGAAAACACAACTGCAGGCTTTAAAGAAACTTCAGCTCGCACGAAGCCTGTCGTTCGGCATCGCGGCGCTGACATCCACGGTCTTTCGCCTTCTCCACCCAACATTTCAACTTCGTCACTGCGTTCTCCCGCACAACCTGCTCGCACAGCAGTTGGGTCTAGTTGCCATAGACCCGATAACATCAATGATCCGGTTCTGGCACAACCAACTGGCCGTCCAGGGAATTTCAAAGCTACGCGAGGTGGTAACAGTAATTTGCCTCTTGGGACGCGCCGCTCGGCTTGCGATCAAGAAGGCACTGTTCTTTCTCAGAGTCTCCCTCAACCTCTTTCTGCTGCTCGTTCACAACTCCCCATCGCTTCTCCACATGTCGGTCCTCATCAGCCTAAAGCTACTCTCCAACCCCCTACCGCTGCTCCCGCTGTTTCCCAACGCCCTACCACGACTCAGTTACAGACTGATTCTCAATCGGCCAATCTCACTGGGGGTGTTCAGCGACAAACTGGTAACCTGGAGGATGTGAGTGGTACGTCACGAAGAAGCCAGCCCACAGTCTCTCTTTCCGAAAGCGTGAACTCACCGCCCTTGCCGTTGCATCGTGACATTCCTGACAGCTCAACAACCTGCCTGAATTGTAACCATATTTCATCTCTCAGAGTCGTAACCACGTCACCTACTCTTATGCCTACTCTTACGCGTCCCGAAACCAACGGAGGCGCAGAGGTGCTGGGAGAACTTACCTCTCCTCCCGCAAGCACTTTGTTGTCCCCTGTACCTTCTCATTTTCCTGGTTCCGCTCCGAAACATCTACATGGTTTGAATACAAATCACGGCCCAGCTTCCTCACCGGCTGATACATCACCAATGTTCTCGAACCCGGAGATGCCACCCAGATTTCGCTTAATTCACCCTCAGCCCACAACATCCCCCTTGACGACCCCCCCTGATAGTCCTCCCCAACCTCAACAGCTCCCAATAGTTGACATGCCGGTTGTTTTCAATTTCATACCCTTACGCACTAAGTCTAACTGAACATTATGGCAGGTCCCTAATCATCAGACTCTTGTAAAGAAAGAGCGTTTGTTCCACGATGAATCTGGCAGCACTCATCAGCAAAACCTGGGTGAGCTAGGCAGCACGTGGCAGGGCTGTGTAGTGCCATAGCACCATAGAAAGGGGTATCACCTTTACAGTCACCTGCGCGTTCTATGCAGCTCTACATAGAAACGCACAGCCACTACACAGCACTCCCTAGAATCTCAGAGCAGATCTGCAGCCATTCATAGAAACACATAGCCACTTCATAGTGCTCCCTAGAATTACGGAGCAGATCTGCAGCCCTCAGTAGCAACCCCTGGGGTCTGCAGATTCCTAGAGGGGGGGCATACATTCTGCTCATTTTAATACCATATTGTATGATTTTTACACAGAACTGGTGTTACGAAAAAATAAGTTTATTGTCTGCACTACTACATTATACAAGATATCCTAATATTCTACATAGTAATGACTGCAGTATATCAAATTTATGGAATCAGAGTATCAAGTATTAAAGATACTAAGAGGATGCCATTCACCAACAAGGAAGGGAGGACGGTTGTTCGTCGAGGGACGGAGCCGTTCTTCAAAGGAGGGAGGACTCAAAGGAGGGAGGATGCCATTCGTCGACAAGGGAGGGAGGACGCCGTTCTTCAAGGGAGGGAGCCGTTCATCAATGAGGTAGGGAGGACACCGTTCGTCGACAACAGAGGGAAGATGTGTTTGTCGACAAGCGAGGGACGACGCCGTTCTTCAAGGCAGGGGGAACACCATTTATCAACGAGAGAGGGAGGACACCATTCGTCGAGGGAGAAACGCCGTCCGTCAAGAAGGGAGGGAGGATGCCGTTCGTCGACGAGTGAGGGAGCAGTTCATCAAGGGAGGACACTGTTCATCGGGGGAGCCGTTTGTCGAGGGAGGGGGGCCGTTTGTCAAGAGGGAGCCTTTCGTCAAGGGAGGGAGCCGTTTGCCGAGAGAGGGAGCCATTCGTTGAGGGAGGAGTCATTTGTCGACGAGGGAGCCATTCGTCGATGAGGGAGGGATCTTTTCTTTAAGGGAGGAAACCATTCTTCACGGGAGCGAGCTGTTCTTCAAGGGAGGCAGGGAGCCATTCTTCAAGGGGGGGAGGAAGCCGTTCTTCAAGAGAGGGAGGATGCCGTTCTTCAAGGGAGGGAGGACGCCGTTCATGGACGAGGGAGGACACCGTTCGTCGAGGGACGCGGTTCGTCAACGAGGGAGGGAGGATGCTGTAACTCGACGAGGGAGGACACCGTTTGTCGAGGACAAGTTGAACATTGTGGTGGGAAGGAAGAACAATGAATTTCCGTGTTGGGAAATTCAAAGTTCAACATAATCACATGATGTCGGAGTTTCAACGGACTTGAACGAATTGTCTCGCGACTTGAAGTTGTTTATCGCCTGTCACTGTCTTTCACAGAAAGCATGGCATTCGAGGTGGGCATTCACAATTGTAGATGGCACCATGTAATCAGGCAAATATAAAATTCATATTGGAAAATTATTGAACAATTTCCGAGCCTTCCAAGAAATTTGCAGTTGTTACCAGAAATTTCCGCTATTTCGATGATTTCCCGAAATTTCCTGTTTTTTAGTAACAATTGAAGTTGTCTAAGTTCGAAAATGTGAGTTGAGCACGGCACGTGACTTCCCGCAACCGTACCGACTTCCATCAATTCACACTTACACTTTCTAGGCTAGCTCATAGCTATAACTTCACGAGTATTACACTGTTTGGCCTCTATGTAGGCTTATTTTAATCGCTTCATTCACGCGAATGCAATCCAATTTACGGCGTAGAAAAATTTGGAGTACCTCACAAACTGTAGCATAAACTATTTGGCCTGTATTAGACATCTGAAATATATATTATCATCATGAGTTCTGCTCCGTTTCATGCGATTTTGGGCTTGTTAGAAACGCACAAATCAGAGCTTTAAAACGGGTCTGAGAGCCCCTAATATTTCGACGTTTAAGGCGACCTCCGATAACATTTACCGTTTTTAGGCAGATTCTTCACCAGTAATTGGTCCAAAGCCATTTGAGTTTTGAACTAAATACTACGTAAATAGACGCGTTGGAATCGGCTTGAACACCACTTTCCAACGCAAAAAAAATCACAAAAGACGAATATGTTTTGCAAAAGATACTTCATATTCTTTCTTGTTGCAATCTTTGTAGGTCAATCAATCTCTGGACAGTGTGGTACTTTCTTCTTATTCCAGGCGTATTTTGGTCATAAATTATTCATATACAATAGGGAATGTGTTTTCTACTGAAATCTAGTATACTTGTAGTTTGACTCCCTATAAGGGCTGGGTAGAAAGTGGAGGCCCCTCTATAGCACCCTATAGTAACGGCACAAGTCTCTGTAGTGCTGTATAGCACAAGCTTACACCCACACAGTGCTGTGGAGCGCTGTGGAGCGCTAGGGCATCTAGCCAAACTTGGCGTGTAACTATGGGAAACTATGATATTAGCGGAAGCACTATGCCTGTCTACGTGGGAAAATCAGGTTTTGCTGATGCTGTTTGGTATCAGACTTCGTCTGGTGAGCCAATATCAAGTCCCCCAATGATCCCCGGCAGTAAGGATGGCGAAATCTTTCTGCATAAGCACCGAGCTGGCGTCCAAGTCTGGGTTATGTCATCTGGGTGGGTCGTGGCGACCGAAGGACACATCCACCCCCTTCTCCCACAACGGCGGCTGGGCGTTCGGTCGTCCGGTGAGCCTTCTTGGCTGAAGTCGCGGAGTTACCACGTTCGTAAATCGAAACGTACGGTGCGCGCAAAGGGACCTGGCACTACAACGGTATGCATTTCTCGCTTCAATGGAAACAGATTATTCTGACCGGCATCAGACTGTCATCGACATATAGGACCAGACAACGCTAATCTAGATCCATCCCATCACCCATATCCACGTCCATGCTCTCCACTTCATCCTCACCCTCCGCGTCTTCTGTTTCTTCTTCAGCTATGTCCATCGAGTTGACTGTAACTGCCGTAGTTTCCATTTCGAAGTGTTGCTGTAGCTACCAGAAATGAAAATATCAGCCGGATTGTGATAGATCACGTGCAAAGAGATCGTACTCGGTTCAAGGCCTTCACATGAAAACATTCATGCTCAACCCCTTCCACACGCAGAGTTGTTTTTTGAATGTGGCACACAATATCGGACGGACGGCAAACGATGACGTTGTTGCAGTACTGAGCTTGAAACAGCATTCCGCCGACTTGCGGGAATTTGCGATAAGGGTCATATTGCGCGACGGCGGCCGATAAGGGTGCCAATGGGCTGACTACCAAGAAAGTCTCCTCCAAAAAATCTTCAGAGCCTATGACTTTGCGTGAGTGGTTAAAGATTTGAGTAATTCGACCGGGGTGGTGATCATTATGCGAAGGAAGAGAGAACATGATGTTGCTGTTGCCAGGAGATGATTGATAGGGCTGATAGGTGACGCCTCTGACGACAACTTTGGTGCATGAGGAGGCCTGTTCACTGATATAAAATTGGCCTAAACCCTTGGTCCCCGTCTTTCGCAGATAGGTTGCACTTTCCATATTCAATTTCAGCAGGAGTGCATTGATCACGTCTTCAGGGAGCACTACTGTTGTATTGGTCTTGGCTACCTGTCCTTTGTCTTGTTCTCTACGCCAAAGGGAGAGTGCATCGTGAAGGCGCGTTCCTCGCTGGTCCTCATTTGCGAATCTCGCGTAGGCATCAGACAAGTCTCCAACCATTTTACGAATTTCTGGGTCATCGAGAAGGGACACCAAATTGGCTGCGCGGCATATTGACTTCATGAACGTCATCTCAATCTCCCCTAAAGTACAAGTCAGTCTTCTTATATAAGTTGGGCTATTGGGAACTCACCGAAATGTTTATTCGTGTTAACGCGTTGAAGGAGGTAGTTGAAGCGCTCTAAGGTAAATGCTCGCCAACCGATGGTAGGTCCGAAGAATGAAAGAAAGTCTGATACGTGGAGGGCCAGATGATGGTTCGGAACAACTGGCACTTCTTTGTAAAGATCCTTCATGACGTTGAGGTATCGATGCATATGCTCCTCATAAATGGCGATGTGCGTAGGGGATGTGATTAACATGCTTCCGACCTCAACAGCTGTGACGAGATCGAGGAAGTTGGTCAGCATTTGGAATTCACGAGTTTCGCTACTCTTGCTCCCCCAGAGACGAATGAGTGTCACAGGAAGATTGACCGAGCAGTAGGTTCGCCACTGGTCTGCACTGAGTTTTCCATGTGAGGTATAACCAGCACGGGCTGGGGCTGGGTTGATCCAAGATGGGAGCTCCATTTTCTGACGGTCCTCACCCACTGCTGTCAAAACTGTCTTTCCCAACACCGCCCGCTGCACACGTTTTGACTTTGCTTCAATTACATCAGCAGATGGCCCCAATGGCCCTGTTGCTTCAAGGGGGAGCTCCTGTAGATTGAGAATTGTGTTATCTGCCTGAACGCCGCCTTGAAAATGTGGAGGTGAGGACATCGAAGGAGCCTGAGTAATGGTTGATGATGAAATAAAGCTCGAAGTGGAAGAGGCCTGTCTCGAAATAAAACTGGGCGCCGAAGAGGCTTGCGTCGAACTGAAGCTAGACATCCAGGAATCCTGTGTTCCCACAGACAGTCTGGTCACGTCTGCCGAGAGATTCCGCTAGATATCAACTGAGCATCTTTCGGAAAGGAGCATTGAGGCAAAGAAACATACCCAATCAATCAACAATTTCACCAGGTCCTGCTTAACATGCTTTGTTGGAACCGTAAGATTTCTCCGCCGACACATGGCTTCTAAAACAGGCTTCGACTTGCGGGAAATGGACCGTCCTTTCGAAAAGTGTTCCTCGGCCTCGTCAATCTTCATCTCTAGCTCCGCAGTTGGTATGGCAGCGATAAGACGATGCCTTTCAGTGTCAGGCGTAATCACCGAAGTGATCGTAGGAACCAGAACAGCACTCAAGTCAACAGTCGTGGGTCTACCCCTGTCTGAAGCTTTCTATTGTTTTCTGCATTCAGTCATGAAAGAGGGCGAACAGAGAGAGTTGCGCACCCAGTCCAGAAGGGCTTTTACGAGGTCGGCCTTTTTACCGCCTCTTCGCAAGGCAAGTTCCTCACATAGATACCAAAGAACCGGTTTGCTGCAATTGCGTAATTTCGTTTTGAATCCCGTCTCGAGTGCGACACGACCCTCCTCCATATCTTCGATTGATGGTTGGGGAGGTATAGAGCCTCTCGGTCTCTTAACGCCATCACCATCCTCAAATTCAATATTCATCCCCCAAATGTCGCGGCAGTGTCTTTGAAGGAGGCCAAGATACAGGTTATGCATAGTGTCAATCACAGTGAAGCGAATGGGATCAAAATATGGGAGCTTCAAAAAGGGCGACCAGCGGATACCAGTGTGCTTGAATAGAGCTTCGCGGGTAGGAGCATCTGCCTCTAACCACATCCTCGCATGCTCCCGATGGCGCTGAAGGTCGCGTGGAGGCCATGATTCCTTGTCAAAGTTTTCAAGATTTTGAATCGGAAGGTAACAGAACGTGCAAAAGAACTTTGAGGTGACAGCACCCATGCCAACAGCTTGTCGGGCGCCCAAAGCATCACAGATAACGGGGACAATGACGGCATGTGTATGTACCCCATCATGATGCTTGGCTGTCCGAGTGAAAGTTACCCCAGGAATCCAGAAATCTAAGAAATCCTGCACGATCAATTCAACAAAATGATTTAACTCAATCAAGGAAGGTTTTTTTGGACCTGGAGCCGCCCCAACAAAGTACATGTTTTCAGGTCGTTGCATTATATCTTCTGGGAGGTTGTTGCACACCAGGTAGATCCCAGTAGAAGAAACGGTCTGTTTAGCTTCCCGATTGTAAAACGGGTTGAAAGCATCTGCTGAAAAACTCCAGACCAATCTGATTTGTCCAGGAGGAGCATCAAGGAACGGCTTTCCATCAGGGCCAGCAAAATTGCGCAGGCCTGCAGCTTGTAAGATGCCATGTATCACATGCCCGTCGCTTCTTTGCCGCGCTCCTGTAGTCGTGGCTTCGATGAGTTCTTCAATTCCCGGCCGAGAAAGAAAGCGGGCCATCCACTGCTTGAAATCTTGATGTAGGTATGTTTTCACAGGGGAGAAGTCTATCTGACCACGGATATTTCGTCCGCGGAGGAGTTTCGCACCACATTCAAGACTGTCGCTGGCGTATTTGTCTGTACAGCGTACGGGGTACGGTTTTACAGCCGGATAGAGAGCAAAACATGTCGGGCAGCAGATGTAGCGACGGACTCGTGGCTCGATATCAAAAGCAAGCAGGACGGATGTCAGAGTCTTGGGTATCTCCCCAAGGAGTTGACCGTGTGTTATGTAGGGGTGCTTCGGACTAGACTTGAAGTAAGGGCCAAAGAGGCTGATGATCGTTCGAAGGCCGGAAAGCATCAGTTCGCAGCTGCGGCGCGGAAGCCGGCAAACGAGGTTCATCACTAAAACAAGTGAGAGGGAAGCAAGTTTGATGGGGTGCCATTTGTACTGGGGGTGCTGAAAATAAACACCTTGTGCGTAAAACAGGGATTGAGAACCATCCGTTCTAATCGAAAGAAAAATTGCTCACTTGAATCTACCACGAGTGAGTCATTCACGACCATGTGAGGAAGACGGCGATACTTGATCCAGACCTGTTTCTTGAAAAGGGTCAAGCGGCGAAGATCCAAAGAAAGGTTCTCCACAAGGTTTTTGTACTGATCTAGCAGCGCAGCATCCAAATCCTCAGAGGAAGCAGTCGTGGCCATGATGAAGAGGCTACAGAGCACATTTTCCAGTTGAAGAAATGCTTGGTTAAGGGGGTGGACGGGATCAAGGGCCAACGGGCCGGGTACATTAGCGTTCCCGTCAGGTTGCGGTTCGTACGAAGAGATGTCCACCATCGGCAGGGCGACTGGATGAGTCACAAACACAAGGTCATCTGGAGTGGAGATGGAAAGGCTTGTATTTATAAAGAGCGATCGCAGGTCGGACAGCTTGGATGATTGTATGTCTGAGGAAAGGGAAGTTTGTTCAACAGGTGAGCGACCACGTGATCTGCGACTATTTCGATGTTCTTGATGGCTCTGTATGGATCGCACTGGAGAAGATGAACGGCTCCCCGGAAGACTGTGATATTGGGCGGGAGGCCGGTCATATGGCCGCCGTCTGGATGATGATCGGCTACCTGGGGCACTGGATGGTGCCCTTAGACCTAAAGCAGGACGAGCATCTGAAGGCGAACGGGGGGGTATGGTCAAGAAGGCGCCGAATCTAGAATGGTCCTCCATCTGCCGAAATGTGGCTCTAAGATCCCTATCCTGCTGATCACGACTCGTCGGTGACACAGAGAGAGATCTTCGTGATGAGGATAATCTCCTTTGCGGTGGAGACGACGACCTGCTTCCTTGAACATTGTGGCGTGAATGATGAGGAAGCTGCGACAGATCGCTAAAAAAGGGGGCTGTAGGAGTTGCAGGGAGAATGTTTGCCATGAAGGCGTTGCTTGATTCCGCATCGCCCTCCAAGACCTTATTCATCCGTTCATCACGCTGGTGACGCTGAAATGTTCTGACGGATATGGTTTGTCCGTCGGGGAAACTGGCAGTGCAGGTACTGCATCGACACAAGCGCTCAGCCATGGTCCAGGAGGGTAACAAGCCCGGTCAAGTAGAATTGAATCAGATCAGCATCACAACCTATATGCGACAAATATTCAGCACGCGGCGTTTACATAATGACGTTTTGGTTCCAATTTTGAGCCAAATTTATTCAAATTTATTTTTACCATAACCTGGCCAAGATCATCCAATCGTGAATCCATCGAACGTTGACTGGGACAAATGCTACCAGCTCAGATCCTGAATGGGGGCCCTGTTTCCGTGGATGTCTTGAATGATATGCCTTCCACTACACTAAATAGAGCCACATACCGTCCTCGGTCCCCTCCCTGATTGCGAGATCAGTTGCCGGATGTTGATTCAACCATAACGATGAGATAATAGAAGAACCCAGGGGGTGAATCAGGGCTTCAAGTGATTTTTCGCTTTATTAACCTAAACGAACGGTAAGACATCGTGACCTTAGAACGTCTATGCTGAATTTTCGCGCTCACGAGCATTCAGGGATCATGAGGAGCAAAGCTGGTAGAAACGTGGAACGACATCTTCCCGAGGTCGCAATGACAGTGGTTGTAACCAAGCACGTAAGCTTGGATTGATCAGTATACCATAAGAACGATGTGAGAGAAATTCACGGAGGGCATGTGCCGCGAAGCAGTTGGTCGTTGCGAGAAGGGTGCAGCCTTGGCAATGGCAGTACTTGCTAGAGTTCTCTTGAGACCTTCAAAACAGTATGTAAATTGGCCAGGTCAGAAAGATGAGATGCGACACATACTGGATAAGGCGACGTCGTGAAATGTCGTATCCATACTAAATGGAAGGAAGGCACGATCCGAAAGGTCAGCTGGTAGATACGGCTCCCTCGTGAAACAATTTCAGGAGGCGCTAAAGAACTTTGAGCAATACGGCTAGAAAGGAGGTTGGCAAAACATACCAGATCGAAGTAACCATGCCAAGGCTAGCGACTCTACGGCTTCGTCACAATTCATGTGTAAGCTCTCGTTTCTGCCCTTGTCGAACCGAAGAATGGAGTATGTTGGCACATTTGTCGGCTTGAAGAAATTTGAAAGTTTTATTCCCTGGCAAAACCACAAGACCAGGGTTCATTGAGGTAACGTTGTGAGGTAGTCTAATATTCTGTAAGATTGAGCGCACCCTTGAAAAAAAGTGGAACACTTGCCTCCGAATCGTCGTGTATAGCGCCTTTGTTCTCGAATGTACAACGAACGTGGAACATTGCTTCTGTCTTGAAAGAAGAAGGAAGGGGAAGAGGAGGAGGACGTGCACACTCGAGTGAAGAGCGTGCCTCGGTATCATTGTCTGCATCGTTGCCATCTGGTGCTGGACGATACGCAGCCATTCAGCCGCAGCCGACGAAAGACCTGCACGGCAGCGCGTTCGGGAAGAAGAACCTTCACCTGTTTTTGGTCTTCCAATTTGGTCAGTAAACCGTTGAAACGATTTCGGAGAAATCCAGGAAGGGCATGTGCCTTAATCGTTGCAACAAGGGCGCAAGCTTGGTCGATACACACTGGAAAAAGCGATGTAGGTCCATGTAAGCATTTTCTGTTCGAATTGCTCGAAAGCACCTGTTAGATTTCGTAAACTTTCGGTATCCATACTGAATGGAAGAAGGACGCACAGTCCAAGAGGTGATGCGACTTCGTCGTGGGACCAATCGGGAGGGCAGTGGATCCACTGTAGATGTTTGCGTCGAGCTCGAGTGCGAAACCTTGAACATATCCAGCGTTGACGTGATCGGACGG